GTTGGATGGATCGGGGAAGAATACGTTCGCGGAAGTGCATCATGCAGAATGTGAGACCACGGGGTAAAAAGTAAGCGGGGGCACAATAGATCCTAGATGAGGGGAGGATAGTCAGCAAGTTTTACAAAAATGAATGCCTGACAGGCACGAACCGATGGTAGGCGAACATCGCCCGCCACAACTTATGAAGGGGAAAACGTTGCTTGCAAGTCCAGTGAGGAAGCAGAACGTTGAGATAGGGAAAGCAAATGAAGTAATCAAAGTATTTTAAGTTAGCGCCACCACGGCCGAGTGCTCAGTTACGTTGGAACACTGAAAGTAATAAAATTATATGATTAATTATACATGTCAATGTGAAAGCAGATGCGACAAGTGATAATAGAACGACAGTCAATCACGGTGGTTTCCACCCGGGACGGGCCGGGTCTTCTTCGAGCGTGTCAATGTCGACTTCTTCATAGGAATACAGGCTCTAAGTTCGAATGTGGAACCACCGAGAGAACCCGTAGTACAGGAGTATGTAAGCATTGCTTGCTTGCTTGAACCTCCGATGGCACCATAATCATCCGCATGTCTGCTCGAGAGCAGAACTTGTAGAGTCCGAACACGACGTTGAATTCCGTCGAGTACTAGGACTTCATCGACGCTTGAAACCAGCGTCAACTGGGGGCCGTTCATCCGTGGGCCATTCCAGGATCGTCACACACTTGAAGAACGCCTCAGCCATTTTGGAGTGATCGTAGATTAGGAGATCGGTCTCGGCGACTCGTTTAGGTTCCGGCTGTGGTCCAAGCAGAGAGAGCTCAAGTTCACTCAGAGGTCGTTTTGAAGGTGGATCAGAATGCTTGATCCATTGTCTGACAGCATAAAACGCCCATTCCCACCAAGCCTGGAAAGGTTCGGCGGAGAATTTGAAATCAGTGCCCAAGAAAGTTCTGGATGTGAACAATCCTATTTTCATCATTCCGCCAATAGCGAAACCATCCTGGTTGGGTCCCTTGTCATCGAAGATGCGTGCTAAAAGATCGGATACACAGATGCGAGAGTTGTGCTCAAGGTAACGTAGGCCAAAGTAGAGCATGACATAGATGAAAGATTCCATGTCGTCTTGAATCATGTGAATCGAATGATGTTTTTCGAGGAGAAGGGACGACATGAACTGCCAAGTCCCCTGTAAAGATATGAACGAACAAGCAGAAAACAGTGAGAATTGGATGACGTACATATCTCTCGTGGATTCGTCGGTGTCCAAGTACAGCTTGGGGCTTTACAAGGTCAAAATCGTTAAGTATACCGTGCCCATTCTGGTTGATGAGTATGTTTTGGGGGCTGATGTCGCAATAAGTGGGACCGTTCCGTTCATAGCTTTGTTGATTGGCTGGAATCAGGTGAGAATCAAAGAGATACGCGCAGAAAAGGTGTTGATCACCAGTAAATGCATCAGAAACCACTTGCATGAGTTGTTTAGAGCTCTTGAATGCCTTGAGGGGTTTTCCTGTGAAATCGATGACGACCCGATGGTGGATTTGCCGCGTAATACGTGGCCGATCATTCCCCAGCGCCCATGAATCTTTGCGAGGAGGGACAACGTTGTGCGCAGCAGGCATCAGATCTTGGACAAGCTTTATCTAGAAAATAAATATGAAATGTCGTCCAGATTCCAGATGAGAATCGATGTAGAATTGAACTTACGGAAGAATCATACATATCTGGTTCTGGGACATCTTGCGGCACTTCATGAAGGTCATTGATAAGCATCGGGACCAACCAAAGGGCTAGCTATGGCTCGAGAAATCCTGGAATGGACTCGGGGCTTTTCACGCAGAGCAATAAGTTAACTTCAGTGGCAACTGTAAATTTGCAGGGTGAAGATGGTGAAGATCATGATGAGTGCTGAACTCAAGGCGCCGATTCACGACCACAAGTGTTTTGACCCAAATGGGGACAAAGGGAGGAAACATTAACATTCAATGACAATTCAGAACAACGCAGCAGGCATGTTATCGGCAAACAAAACTGAAAGCAACCGTGAGGAAAAACAAGTCCCGACGGTGGTTTGAACACCGGACCATGCGATGGGATGACAACATAAGGAACTGCAATCGCATGCTCTACCACTGAGCTATCGAGACATATTAGAAAGTGACAGCACGCACATAGCAAGGTGCTTGCGCTACGTAATCCCGACGATTGACCACGTCTCAGGGTCACGGCTTGCGCTCGACATGTCATTGTCGACCACAAGTTGGTGAGTCCATTTGTAGAAAGCGCGTTGCCTTGCTGAAACCTACGCACAGTATATAAGCCAATTGGTATGTTTTCTATGTTATCATTACGTTCTCTATTCTGAGTCGTTGACTTGTGTAGTGCTCGAGTTGCTAGAGCTGTATTCGTGCGTTACTCCAGTGCCATAATACTTTATAACATGCTAATCCTTCTTGCAGCTTTTTCAACCTGTAGCAGCAGAAACAGTATCCTAAACTCCTATTGAATGCTCGCCACAGCCTCAGGTGCGTTCTGTAGCCATGTCGCACGACATAACTCTAGTTCACAATTAAGCAGTCGCATCACGACGTCAAAAGTATTCTTATCTTCCTAAATAATGACAGGATTCAGCCCTCTTCCCCTTGATGGGCCTCAAAGCAACCAAAAATTCGCAGGCAAAGCCTACATCCTTGGGCCCAAATGGGCTCACCTCCCTATAATCACCATAGGACTACTCGGCGTCCAGATATTTTGGTCAGTCGAAATGGGATATGCTTCCCCCTACCTTCTCTCCCTCGGCCTCTCCAAGTCGGCTATGTCACTAGTTTTCCTCGCGGGTCCGTTGTCCGGATTATTCATGCAACCGATTATTGGTGTCCTTGCGGATAATTCGACGTCACGGTTCGGAAGGAGGAGGCCGTTTATGATGATTGGAACGATCGTCTGTGTGCTTGCAATGTTAATGTTGGGGTATACTCGCGATTTTGCCTCGGTTTTTATGGCGAGGGGGTCGGAGGGGAATAATGCGTTGACTATACTGCTCGCGGTCTTTTCGATATACCTCATCGATTTTTCAATCAACGCAGTTATGGCGATGGACCGTGCGCTTCTCGTCGATACGCTTCCGCCTGCCGCCCAGGCTTCCGGGAATGCATGGGCAGCACGTATGCTCGGTACCGGCTCGGTGGTTGGGTTCTTGTTTGGCACGATACCCCTCCCGAAGCTGTTTCCGTTCCTTGGAACGACGGAGCTCGAGGTTTTGAGCGTTATTGTGGCCATTCTTTTGCTCGCTGGACATACTTTGATGGCTGTATGCGTCAAGGAGCGTGTGCTGCTGAAGAGTCCCGACCGCCCGTCGGGAAAGCGGCCGAACCCCTTCATTCGTGAAGCTAGGGCCTTGTGGTCTAATCTCCTTACTCTACCGTCGGTCATCCGACAAATAGTGAGTTCGCCTTCTTTATTCTCTCCTAACATCACTGCTTAACCTACCTACCAACGCAGTTCATAATCCAATTTTTGTACGTTTCCCCCTCCTCGCCTTCCTCTCTAACTAACCCAACCTCAACCTATAGTGCATGGATAGCCTGGTTCCCCATCCTCTTCTACACCACAATCTACATCGGGGATCTCTACCGACGCTCAACGCCCTTATCGCCCTCTATCACTGTCACAGAGAGAGACAACCAAGCGACGCTTCTCGGGACACGAGCTTTATTCTACTCCTCCTTCATCGCGCTCGTGTTGAATGTCGTGTTGCCGGCGTTCGTGGCTACGCCTGCGACAAGAGGGAAGACGAATGGGCACGGGCAGAGGCCGCGGGCGGATTCCAGGGTGAGAGAGGGGGCAAGGGGGCTAAGGGGAAGGGAATGGTTGAGGATACCGGAGGCGGTTAAAGTGAACCTTGGGACGCTTTGGGCGATGAGTCATCTAGTGTTGGCCGGGTGTATGTTTGCGACTTTGTGCGTCTCATTGCTCCTTTTTTCCCGCTCATCCGCTGATACAGAATCAATCAATTCTGAAGGTTTACGGAGACCGTGGTGGGCGCTACGGTGCTTATGAGTGTTACGGGTTTTTCGTGGGCGATTACACAATGGGCGCCGTTTTCACTTGTACGTCTTCTCCACCCTCTTGGCGGTTTCTGCCTTCCTCAGCCTTCCTACAGCTGGCAGAAGCAATCCTAACGACACCTGACCCAACTTCAAATGAACGGAACTCCATTCTCCTCGCTGACGCCCGAACACCAGTCGACGATCCAGAGGCTGAGGCTGCGGATGAATCGGCAGTGTTTCTGCATAATAATCATCGTACGAGAGAGGAACGTGATGATGAGTCGGATATTGGTGATGATGATGTGCCTCCAAGGTCTGGGGGTGGTTTGCTAGGAAACCGGCATGCGCGTATGAGTCGGCTGAATGTAGATGGGGATGGACTTGGAGATGGGCAGGAGGATTGGGAGAATGTTGGTGGAGGTGCGGGTGGAGGGGGAGGAGGGTTAAGTGCAAAGGCTGGGATTATTCTCGTACGTTTGTTTTCTCCCCTCGCATATCTTCCAGGGTGCTGATGTACTTTTGGAAGGGTATCCACAACGTCTTCATCGTTGTCCCTCAGTTCCTCGTTACAGGTCTATCGGCGGTCATATTTGCTATCTTTGACCCTGTACGACCGCCGACCCATACAATTTCGCCGCCGCCGAAGCCGACGGAGGTCGTAAGGACTGTCATAAGGGAGGCTGGGGCAGTGATCGGGCGAGAGGAGGCGCTCGAGAGTGATGGGAGTTCTAATTCGGTTGTGTATATTTTTCGGTGAGTGATGATATGCGTGTTTTTTGGGGGTTAGAGCCTGACGCGAACGTGGTGTGCTGTAGATTAGGTGGTGTTTCGGCATTGATTGCGTTCATTCTTTGTTGGAGGCTTGCGAGGGAGCTACGGCATCGATAGCATTCAATTCTATGCTGTGCTTTTAGAATGATCGTATATGATGGACCTCATCGCTGGGGTACGTAGTAGAGGGCTGATGCTAAGGCTCATGATTGCCTGACAGAGTCTAGACGAACATTGCTAGCATATTTATCGTTTGTTGTTAGTAGGTTTTTTTGTTATTGCATTATGTATATTACTGCATCCCTCACCGCCGCGGCATCGTGCTAGTAACCTACTGGTGTTGCTGCCCGTCTTATTTCATTTCACGTCTGAGGCACCTTGTGGAAGTACCAGGAGCTATAGCCATTCCGCTCGTCGACGGCTTCGAGATGATTCGTGCAAAAAGGCTGCGAAAGAAAATATATAGTTGGAGTACTAGTGAAGTCTGAGTTCTAACAGAAGGGAGGCTCGGGAGAAGAACCAGAATGTAGAATGGTAGTGTACGAAACTCTACGGCATCGTTGACACCTTGACCGCCTCCGCGAAGAAAGAATTGTTGAAGAACTGAAACAAGAATTGGGAGTCCCTGGCGTGCAAAAAGGCTGCGAAAGAAAATATATAGTTAGAGTACTAGTGACCTACAGGTTGGATTCAGAGCCAACTATCGATCTCGTAATACGGCCAATAAATTATTCTGTGCAATGCGGTACAAATGAAACAACGAAGTATAGATCTAGAATTGAGACTAAGTTTATACCTGGGGGCTGGTTCAGCCCGTCCAAACAGTGTCATGCCCGCTTCGTCTATTCGCTGACCTGCAGCTAGAAAGTATAATGCAGAGTTAAGATTCAGAGAACTGGCTTGTCCGATTTCATATTCACGGCATCCCTAATCTTTTTCACGGCCGTAATAATCGACGAAGGCGGTACCATCGTATTGTCTCCGAAAGCCTTCCTTCTATTTAGAGTAAATTTTTCAAGGATCCAGAGCTGTTGGTAGAAGGTGTGCAGTATCTTCCAGTGTGCCTCTTTTAACGTCTTGGTACTCGTATTCC